GGTCGCAATTTTTTTCGTTATTAATAACATTAAAATGTATGCTTATGGTTGAAGTAGTCCAGTTATGTGATTGTCACTTTATGTCAGTAGTAAAATTGTTAAAATCAGCCGAACTGGCCTGGTATTCGGTAACCTTGAACTTTAATGGTTTGATGAAAAAGATGTTTTATCTTTCTTTGCTGATCAATATTATCCAGGCTAGTAACACAGGGTAGAGTTGGTTGAGGGTGGGTTAGGAAACGCCGAAACATCTTTTTACCTTTTTTTTCACGACTGCTTAGATTGTTTACAGAACACACTTGTCTTATAGTCGAATCAGTTGAAAATATCAAACTTATCGTAACAGAAAATATTTCAATCTATTAAGCAATGACAAATTCTATTAAACATTCGACTGAATATTCGGTCACAATTGAAAACAACCCTGTAAAAACCAACACTTTAATTGCCAATCCTTGATGTTTTATTAGAGTCAAAGATTACTGAGCAACCTGACGTTAGCTACTGAAGTCGTTGTAAATATTCAATATTAGATTGTACAGTTCAGTCTTCAGCTATAACATAAAATGTATGATCATATGTCTAGACTGCAGTAATGGATTCTACGGTGCAGCCTGTACGCAATGTCCTTTGGGATGTAGCAGTAGTAGCAGTAATACATGTGATCAATCGTCAGGAAGTTGTTTTCATAAGTACTTTTTATGATAAATCACATTTGCAAGAAACACATGAATTCTTTCATTAAAATTTATATATAATTAAGGTGCAAATTTCATGTTTAGTAAAACCCATAGCGTTATAGAGAGAGCATATGCCAATATATCTGAAGTTTCAGATGTAGCAAACTGATGTACATTCTAATTAGAAATGAAGGTTTTGATTATTAAAACCTTCCTCAATATGAAGTAGTTTATGCATATACGAAACAAAAATCAGTATTCTGTTAATTTGCTTGATTTAATCACTTGGATTTCTTTAACCTACTTTTCATGTGGATCATGGTAATTACCGACCGATGTGTCTTCAAATACTTTCATAGATATTCACATAAAGGAGATATGGAAACCGATTCATATAAACTAGCCATAATTAGTTGTTTTTTGTTTTGTTTTTATTAATACTGTTTTTTTAATTTTTTTTTTTACTTAAATGTAATTCATTAAAGATAAATTACTGATGTGAAAGGATATGCTACATGTATAACATTTGTATTAATAATATCACGGATTTGGAAACATTATTTGTGCTACAGTAAATTGCCATTGATATTAGCAGTCAAGGTAACAAAACTACATTGTTAATCCTATCGTTTAAATACAAGCCTATTATTTGTGGCAAAAGTCGACCTCTGTCAGCCTTGGTATGGCGTCTGGTATACGTCCCTCTTCTTTTCCGCCAGCGTTACATTTCTCCTTATTGATTAAATTAATAATACCTGTTCAACAACTTACTCTCAATAATTAAAAAAATAAATAGTGTTGTCATCTTTTGCAATAAATAATGACTACATGAAATATGAGACTTCAATATTGTTCATATTTTATATTTTCTTTCTACTCAGAATGCGTTATTGGATCATATGGCAGTTTTTGTAATCAGTCTTGCTCCGGTAATTGCAAAAACAGTGTTTGTGACAAGAACAACGGCCGATGTACATTGTGCAATCAATGAGAAAGTCAAAATTTAAAATTCGAATATCATTAAATTTATGTTACACAAGAAATTGAACAACTTTGTATATAACGTGTATAATTAAAAAAAGCTATATAAATAACATCAACAAATTGACTAATTATTAACGCAATTTTGATAATATATCACATTTAACATATCACTTTTATACATTGCAACTTACCATACCTAGTTATTTAACATTTTCAAATTGATCACGCTTGTCTGATTTTCGAAGATCGTGGTTTTAATGACTCATACAACTAAATCATTTGCTATATGTTATTACCAAACATTTTAGCTAATAACTTTAATATTTGAAGTTCAAAACCAGTGACAACTGTCTAGATTCATAAATACATTCCTTGCAAAGGCTACAAAATGACTTTTTTGGTAGGTTTAGTGGCATATTGGAGTGTCACAGCGCCAAGTAGTTGACAACTGGAATTTTACAAGCAAAACCGGTGACACAAAACAGAAACGCACCCACCTATTTGTCCCTGTGGAAATCCACACACAGACATAGAAATATATCAAAAGTTCACATTTTTCAAAAGTTAAATACCTGAACATTTCATTTATCGAAACATCTGTCATCAGTTCCTTATTAAACTCCTTCAGTGGCCCAGTAATTAGCCGGAACGTATTATAGATAGGAACTACAAACGTATGAAAAACTTGCTGATTGGCTGATTTAGTTGTGTGAGTCCTTTAAGGCCAATGTACAGGTGACCACGTACAATCAATTTGCGAAAATTATTAGGAGCAATTTTCGAATCGACTTCACTCAATATGCTCATTTAAATGACAGGTTTAGTGTAAGACTGTGAATCATATTGTTAAACTGATTTCGTCTCTGTTTCCAATAAGAGGTCTATGTGAACATAACTGATAATAAACCTTGTTTTTAAAACCAGCATACAAATGCAAATATTTGTTATTTTTTCAATTAAATTTTGATTAAGGCGTGTCTTAACGTATTTGATGCAGTCAATATGAGAGATTTTAAGATATTAATTAAAACGCATAAAGGTAGTGACTGAGCTTATCGATAGACTAAAACAAAGACATTAATGAATTTCATTGGTTGATTGATACATTGCTGCAATTAAGACGCCTATTTTCAAATCAACAGCAGTTATCGATAAGCAATCAATACAATGGATCTGTCATCGCTCACCTGCATTTCACATAAGCTAGATCAGTACATGATCTATCATATGACTTTCTGTTGGTGATAATCACAAATCTTCTAAAGGTTCCTTGTTGATAAACGCTGTAAAGTGGGAAAGTTTCATTTTTGCCAATGGAAAACAGGTAGGATCAAGTCGATTCTTTCTTTAATATTCCTTGGCTAGACAGAACTTTGATATTTTCAAAAAAAGCATTAATCTATTTTTACGTCATTTGTAAATTAAATATTAAAAGAAGAAAAATCAATCATTCAAATTAAAGAGTTCGACTTTTGTATATTTGAGTTTTTTTTAAAGTTTCTTCTTGTTGATGAATAATAAGAGCAATATGTTTTGAGCAGCGTGATTTTTGCTTCATTTCAGACTGTAATGATGGATACTACGGATCAGCCTGTACACCATGTCCTGTTGGCTGTAGTAGTATTCATGTCAAATGATATTTTCAAAAACATTTGGTACATATACACGAATAAAAACTCCACTTGGACGAGCAGGTGACTCAAAATATCACGTCCGATGCGGGATTCGAACCAAAAGGTTTTTTCAAGAGGTCTAATATGGGAATAAAAATTCAAACGACATATTTTGAAAAACTAACATGCCATTGGGCATGATGCTTTGCTTGTATCGTGCTGGTATGAAGGGCTATCCAATTTATTCAAAACAACGCCTTTGATTTTCCTTAATAATACAGGGGTCAAATTTGCGAACACCTTTAAGCAACCTTTTTTTAACAAGAGCTGTCACCGAGGGGAAGTATACCCCTCGCATATAATTGTGCATCAGTTGTATAACGACAATGGAAGTGTCATCCTCTGTATTCTGGTTTAATTTGATCCATTTTTTTATATTTTTTTTGTTTGGCTACCTTAACTATCAATTTTCCCGCCATCCCTCGATAAAGAAAGCGGAAGTGTGATAATAGTAACAAATACGCTTCAGAGTCTAGCCTTATTTTAAACTCATTAACGACTGAGATCAGGATATTATAATTAAACGATGCGGAAACGCGCAGAAATAAGAAAAAAAACCATTCAGTGAATAGGCCAAATTGTACGGCGTGTTTTTTTGTTAAAATCGAAACAACAGGGCTGTCATCTCTGCATATTAATGCCGCTACACAAAAAGTTTCAAAGAAATCTATTAAAAAATTAGCAAATGCATAGCCGGAAAACATTTTCTAACTTGAAGGGGCATAATGTTCTTAAAAAGGTCCGATACGCAAAAGTATTTCAGGAGACACAACAACATATGGAACGGCCACGACACGAACAAATTCAAAGTAATATATTAAAAACTTAGCAAATGCATAATTGGGCAAGGTTTTGTCAAATTGTTAACGTAAAGGGGCATACTCCCTTAAAAAGGTCCGAAACATAAAAAAAAATTCAGGAAGTACAACAACATATGGTACTGTCACTACAAAAAAAGTTTTAAAGAAATCTATTGAAGTATGAGCGAAACCATAGCTGGACAATGTTTTGTCAGTTGTTATACGTAAATGGGGTATAACTCCATTAAAAAGGTTCAAAACGCATAATTATTTCAGGGGGCACAACAACATATCGTACTGCCACTACGTATTTTTAAGAAATCTATTGAAAAATAAGCGAATGCATAGCCGGACAAATTTTGTCTATGGACAGACGGACAAGCCAATTCCAGTTTAACACCCCCTCCGACGAGGAATGAAGAGTGCGTACTGCACATTGTGATTCTTATGTATATTCGCTGCATCGCACAGAAGAAAGATTTGATTGTATCGGTAGTAGATCAATTTAATAAGTCAGGCAAACCTAATACATTAAATGAGTAAAGTATTGCTGTAGATAATGTCAAATTGACAAGTCTTGTTTCGATTTTTGTTACGTAATGATACAGTAATACAATCTTCCAACATAGCTGCATAATGGCATTATGTGTAGAGTGATGTTATTTAGCTATGTAAGAAACACTTCCGTTAACCAACTGTGAAGATCAAAGACGATTAACAGTTGAGCAATTCAGGGTCTCTTGATTGTCAACTGGCAAGCGTGATTTAGTGTGATTTATAGGAGTATTATTATTCAGAAAAATGTATTTTTTCGTGATAAATATCGTCCATATGAGATTTGATAATTCTTCATATTTTTTCAGAATGTGATGATGGATTCTATGATAGTTTCTGTAACCAGTCCTGCCCTGTTAATTGTAAAAACAACGTTTGTAACATGGTCAACGGTCAGTGTACAGGTTAGCCGGAAATCCATTTCATCAAGAATTAATACTGTTTTTTTAAGAGAAAAACAATCTTTTCATCAGTGATCATCAATTGGGTCTAAGTAAGCTTTGTTATAACGTGTAAAATTGCAATAGCTATAGAAATTTTCAATTCAACCTACTGGTCGGTGAACAAAGTATAAAGTACACTTAACTAACAGACGCTGTTAACGAACTGATGCCGTTAATGCATCAAAGATTGCCTATTTGTTGAACATATTTTATGTATATTTCCTTTGATGCTATAAGTAGCTGTGAAAATACGAAATGAAAACAAAATATGAGGGATAAATCAATTCATTGATGTGTTAAAATAGGCGATAAAACAAAGAAGTATATGCCATTTTTTTTTTAGCTATAAATACACTCTACCAGCAATGGACCAGTAATGATACGTTTTGAAAATAAAATCAAAAATGGTCAAAACACAGGTTTTAACAAATCATGTTCACGTATTCGAATACTTGAGTTAAATCGTGACGATGCTTTTTCACTAAATACCCATCAATGGTACCACACTTGCTCACATAAACTTGAAACAAAAGCTATACATTTAAATTTTGTTAAGACGAAGTCAATTCCAAGGGTAATTTGTATTAACGTGTATACATCCTGTTTGGCGACAAAGTCAACGCAGGAAAACTACTCTTTATTCTGTAAAATTGTGTATGGAAAAAAAGATCTTATAAGCCGGAAAGAGCAAAAAGATAGCTAACCATGATTTGATCATTCGATTTTCTTTTGTTAACAAAAATAACAATAAATATTTGACGCTTACCAGATATTCGCTTTATATTTACCGTTTTATGTATTGTGTGCGTTTCATTATATGCTCTCTATACTTGATATGATGAACAATGCCTTAGGTGAGAACACAACATAACTTGTAAAAACAAGTTAAAATAACTATACCTTTGCATCAAATAATAATACGCTTAAGTAATTCAGAGATATGTAAACAAAGCAAAATGACGTTAGTGCCTTTCAGAATTTCTTTTTTTGTTTATCACTAGTTGCTCCATATTTATTTTCTTAGTGCATTTCACTTCAGTTATCGGTATTAACAAAATTAGAATGATTAAGTTTTAGATCAGGAATAACAAGTATACTTATATTAAAGTAATCTTTGCCAATATAATACTTCAGAATGCCTAGCCGGATATCACGGTAGTACCTGTACTCAGACGTGTCCTACCAATTGTAAAGACAACATATGTATCCAGGGTAACAGGTTTTGTACAGGTAATAACACTATTGATAAAATGTTATGATTTCATAATTAGCATTTAGCTATGTTGTTATAATAATTTTAAACAAGCATCCAATGATTCATTTGTCATACATTTGAAAATGTGATTAGAAATAATTTATATGTTGAATATTCATTTTCAATTTGTGAAGTGAAGTTTTTTATACATGTATCAGATGATAACAGTAAAAAAAGAAACAGGTGAGCATTTTTTTCCATTATACAAATGATACATGTTAAGCAAAAATTAACCTGTTAGAAATGTTGTAAACATTAGTTTTATGGAATATATGGTTCAAGTTATTATTCCTTCCCCGAAACCTGGTTTCGTCATCAAAATATATTTTATATTGATGGTTTGGAACACCTTTAATCCGTTGTTAATGCACACTTTATAAATACGTATGTGGATGGTGGAACACCTTTATTCTATCAAAAATACGCACTTTGTTGCATAAACCAATGTTTATGATTCCAAGGAATTTCTTTGTTTCAGAATGTGCTGTTGGGTATCATGGCGATCAATGCGATATGAATTGCCCGTTCAACTGCAAGGATAAATTTTGTAACCAGACTAATGGTCGGTGTATAGGTATGNCACTATTGATAAAATGTTATGATTTCATAATTAGCATTTAGCTATGTTGTTATAATAATTTTAAACAAGCATCCAATGATTCATTTGTCATACATTTGAAAATGTGATTAGAAATAATTTATATGTTGAATATTCATTTTCAATTTGTGAAGTGAAGTTTTTTATACATGTATCAGATGATAACAGTAAAAAAAGAAACAGGTGAGCATTTTTTTCCATTATACAAATGATACATGTTAAGCAAAAATTAACCTGTTAGAAATGTTGTAAACATTAGTTTTATGGAATATATGGTTCAAGTTATTATTCCTTCCCCGAAACCTGGTTTCGTCATCAAAATATATTTTATATTGATGGTTTGGAACACCTTTAATCCGTTGTTAATGCACACTTTATAAATACGTATGTGGATGGTGGAACACCTTTATTCTATCAAAAATACGCACTTTGTTGCATAAACCAATGTTTATGATTCCAAGAAATTTCTTTGTTTCAGAATGTGCTGTTGGGTATCATGGCGATCAATGCGATATGAATTGCCCGTTCAACTGCAAGGATAAATTTTGTAACCAGACTAATGGTCGGTGTATAGGTATGTACTGTGAGACTGATAATTCATGTGCAAGTTTATACTACGAAATTGATCTTACATGTACAGGTAGGCACTGTGAAATTGATCGTAAATATATAGGTAGGTAATGAAAAAAACTTCTTACATGTACTGGTATCGTATGTACTGATAACCTGATCTTATATGTATATATATAATGTGTAACTGATCTTATATGTACATGAAGATACTGTGAAACTAATCGTTCATCTATAGGTAGGTACTGGAAAATATCGTACATGTACCTGTTTGTACTGGGAAGCTGATCTGATATGTATTTACTGAGAAACTGGTCCTACAGATCTGTAGTGAGAAACTTATATGACATGTACAGGTACATGTACGTGATGGAAATCTGAACTTATATATACAGATGTATACTAAGAAACTCATCTTATATGTACCGATACATATATGTACTGAATCAAACAAAATATCTTACATGTACCAGTATGTACTGGGAAGCTAATCTGATAGGTACATGTATTTACTA